GGCTGGCTGGCATGTGGTGCTGGGGGATTGAACCGCGGTCCCTGTGCTTTGCCAAGCTTGTTCCAGGTAGGTGCTTTAGACCACTGAGCCATCTCACCAGCCCCCCTTTATTTATTTTAAATATGGAACGCTCCACAAATGTGCACGCCATCCTTGTGCAAGAGCCACGCTAATCTTGTTTCATTCCAATTTTAGTTTATGTGCTGCTGAAATGAGCACAGTACGAGCCACTTAGCTGATTCTTATGCTCAGGTTTGTGGAGAATGGAAAATGCTAGCATTTCTAATTAGTTCAGAGACAGCAGTGTGAACAACTGACTTCCATTAAAAGGTAGTCGGGTCTTGTGCACAGCGTCATGACCAAGCCGTGCTCTGGAGGACCGAGCAGGAACCTGGCCTGGCTAACAGCGCCTCAGTTAAGACTGTCAAAACTGAGCCAGTGCAAAGGCCTTGGCTCAATGCTCAGTGCCATAAAGAGAAAATTACAAGATTCGGATTTTAAAAATATGAATTTCATGTTACTGGAATTAAGCTAGTTTAAATCTGAAGGTGATTTTGATAAAATATATATAGGAAATCTGAGAGCATCCCCCCCAACGCAGTGAGAAAGTTAAGAAAATGAACATGAAATAAGTTAGCCAGGCATGGTGGTGCACTCCTATAATCCCAGCACTCAGGAGGCTGAGGCAGGAGGATCTTTACGAGTTCAAGAACAGCCTGGGCTACGAAGTGAGCTCAAGGCCAGCCTGTACTGCATAGTGAGCCCTTGTCTCAAAAAGACCAAGAAGGGGGCTGGGGCGATGGCTCGGTAGAATAAGCGCTTCCCTGGCAAGTGCAAGGGCCTGAGTTCAATCCCTGGTTCCACAAAAAAAAAGTTGAGTATCAAAAAGACCAAAAAAAGAAAAGAAAGAGTTAAGGGGAGATAAACAAAAAGGCCGGAAACTAAAAGCTACAACTCTTGTTGCATAGGTCCTGCTTTACCTTGGTCTTAACCATCCAGTAGAAAGGTATGAAGACGAAATATAAGAAATAAAGCCATGCT